AGGCAAATTTACTTCTCGGAGGGGCAAGCGAAAATTTTTGCAGTTGAAAGTTTTTTTAAGGCGATTTTCTTATCTTGATATTGGCCGGAATATAAAATAGACAGTAACGATGGAAATACTCCTCATCTCAACTTTTAAACAGAAAATCCCTGCACCGTTGAAAAATTTCGAAATAGTGATGCGCAACGAGAAAGTTCGACCCTGATTCAAATTACTAAAGCATTATCATTGAATAATATTCACCAAAATACGTGTTTGAACGTAAAAACTTCAACGAAAAAATGTTGAAAAAATATGGATGTGAACAGTAGCCCAAAATTTTTTTTGAAAAATTCTGCCCAGAAATAGAAATACATTACACTGTAGGATGATATTGATTGCCTAATGGAGATCAAACATAAATCAGAGAAGAGACAAGAAAAAATACTAGTTTCATTCTTTTCGCTCAGCAACTGTAAATAATAAATCATGTACGTATTCCGTAGGCTCTCTAACGACGCAATAATAGTGTACACGAGGTTCCCGTGTCATATGAACCGATCGAAAACCGTTGGTTAATTCCGGTTATTTTTGTGATTCATGGTTAACCGCGATTATTTGCTTTGTTCTCAAGCTTTCACAGCGTAAAAACCGACGGTTAACCGCGGCTAACCTCCCGCTTGATCGAAAAAGTTAGCAGTTCTGACCAATATTTCTTCGGTCAACCGGGAGGTTAACCGCGGTTAACCGTCGGTTTTTACGCTGTGGAACCTTGAGAGCAAAGGAAATAACCGCGGTTAACTGTCAGTCACAAAAGTAGCCGGAATTAACCGACGATTTTCGATCGGTTCGTACGATATGAGTTGAACACCAATTGTTATGGAATGTCGGTCTTCCTTCTAAATCGGTGCTAAACAAAACACTCATATGGCGAATTATAAGTGACTCAAGCCTATTGAAACTACAACAGTTGCAGTCATCACAATAGATTTTTAGTCACATAACAGTGCTTTATAGAACCCTTTTAATTAATCGATAATAGGTACTACTTGCCACCATTATAACTGGTTAAAACTCTAGACTAGTAGAGTTAGATCAAAAACAATGAACTATAATTATTGAGAGTCATTATTTATGGAAAATACTACTTTTTTCGGTAATTGTTTTTCATTTCAATATTGTATGTGATATTTTTCTATTACAGTAAATGATTTTGTTCATTTTTGGTCACATGACATTTCCTCCAAATTTTCATCGAGCGAAAAGTTTTAGACAAGCTGTACTGCTCGTTTTTCTTCCTGAAAGATATTTCAAATTATTCGGGAGGGAGCCAACGCAATCTCCGGAAGAGTGCAGTCCGTCCTGTCCCCACGCTAGATAAAATACTGATTCTATTTTAACAACATCAGATTAATTAACAACTCACAAAATCTGTCGTAAAAAATAATTTTAGAACAATTATATTGATTTTTTTAAAACTTATTTCATTTTTCTCGGGGGGGAGGGGGGGGCAAAATGTCCCATGCCCCCCTACTGGATAAAACACTGCCAGATGTTATTTATATTCTTGATGAATTAGTTGGTGGTCCACGAATGATATCTACAAATCGTTTAAAAGCATTAGAATTTGATCCAATACTTATTGATTATAAAGTTCAACTATCTCTGGATATGGCATATTGTGCATTACGTCAACGTAATTTTAAATTATCTTTAACAAAATTAAATGATACACGAAATCGACTTGATTTATGTTAAAATCCATTAATAAAATCAATTTATTGGAATGAAATTTATTGTGATGTACATTTAAAAAACGTCATCAAATACAGTTATCAATAACATCATTACCAAGTTATAGATTGTTTATTTTCACAACCAAATGCTTATTATAATTATGAAAATGATGATAAAAAGCAAATTTCTCAAGCTAAACATCGACAATTAGAAATATATTTATATGGTTTTGATGATCAAACAACAAATATACAAAAAGCTGATTCGTTGATTAATGAATTACTTAATAAAATTGTTAATATAATAAAAAACGAATATTGAAAAACAAGAAAAAGATTTAAAAGTTTATCCACAAATATTCGTCTTGCTAAAGAAAATATTCTTAGTCGTGATTACAATGAATTAACAAGTCTTTGTGATGATTATTTATGTTAATATGAAAATAATGAAGAGAAAAATAATTTAATGCATATATTATTCTCTGGTGATAATATTAATTAATAAAAAAAATAGCAGACATAATTGTTAAATCTGTTTTGTCATCAATGAAATATGGTTCAAATGAAGGTGTTAAACGTTTTTCACGTTTATTACAAACAATGTCTTTCTTTCCTCTTTTTGTCTATTTTGTTTTTGTTTTTGTTTCTGTTCTCATGTCTTCCTGTATATTCAGTAAAGAAAGACATGCTCCAGTTAATGTTGTGAGAGATGCTCCACCCTAAGATCAAGATCGACACTCCACATTAACTGGAACAAGTATTTCTTCAAGATCAAACAACATAAAATTAATCTTTCATATTGCTCCTAATGATGAGTCCAGAAAGGACACGAAAGCTTGAATCTCCACTCATTATTTCTGTTTGAAATATAAAAAAAAATGTTATTTGCAGCAGTAATCTCTTTTTTCTCTTATTTATTTCTTACTGCTCTATCCCCTGGGTTTGTTTCAATTCGTTTTTTTTAAGTAGTAACAAACAAATAAATAAAATTATTTCAAAGAAAAAACTCTTTTTACATAAATTGAAAATAGGAACAAATTTGACCAGTTAAGACTAAATATCTCTTCCCACAAACATTCTGTATCTCTATATGAAAAAAACAAATACTTTTTTAAAACTATAATATGATTATATCGATGGTTCAGATGCTCGATTCTAGTAGTCAGTTTTTCCTTAATGTCAAGAAAATTCCAACGGCTTTTAAAGGTTAACTTGTAATGTTTCATTAAAATATGAAAAAATGTATGTGATTAATTAGATAAATAAAATCAAATAATAATATTTTTGCTCTTTCAAAGAGGTTAATGGTAGTTTCTTTTATAAAAATGCTGAAGAATGTGATCGTCTTGTTGCATCTGAACGTAAATTTATTGATGATCGTATTCAAAAAATAGTTGAATTTAAACGAAAAAGATTGCTCGGATGATGATAAAAATAAATCATTTGTTATCATTAAATCAAAAAGGTATTGATCCATTATCATTTAATGTATTAGCGAAAGATGGAATCTTGGCATTAAGACGTGCTAAACATCGAAATATGGAACGCTTGACTTTAACATATGATGATGAAGCTATGAAGTAAGGAAAATTAGAATTTTTACGTAGTAATTTCGAATTATTTTTTAATTAGTTTGCTTGAAAATTTAACAAAAGAATATCTTGGCTTTGCTGAAGATGTTTATGAACATGTTCTGGAAACTACTATTTATTGAGTTTATTTTTATACTTGAAATGTTTGTTAGAGTGAAGAAAAATTTACTTTTGTTGAAGGTTATTAAAATTCCAAATCAGTAACAATTTTACTCAAAGGTTTAACAAAATACTTATTAAATCAATTGAAAGATATTCTTTGTGATGGATTTTGTTCAATAACAAATGCAACTAAAGATGATTAGTTTTATTTCTAGATTTATCAGTTGTTTATGTGAAACACGATCTAAAGAGAGTGGGACGTGGTGTTCTACATCTTAATCCCACAAGGATTGCACTAATAGCTTTTTGTTTAGGTTGTATAATTCCTAGTGATGATGCTTTTGAAATAGTTACTCATCAAGTACTTACTCAATATAAGAAACAAGTAAAAGATCGTGCACGTTTAGGTGTTCAAACATTTGCTGAATCATTATTAATTATTCCAAAGGCTATTACTCAAAATACTGGACATAATCAACAAGAAACAATTGTTAAATTTCAATAAGACTATGTAACATCAAATTATCAGTTGGTATCGATATTACAACAGGTAAATAGTTTTCTAAATAATAAGGATAAGTATTAGTCTTATTAATTGTTCAAAACAAAGAAATCAAATAATGTTTTACTAAACATATCACAAGTGAAAAATAACTTGACAATATGTTATTGAAAAAAACAAAGCAAACTATTCTAGTTATTCTGTTTTATTATCTGATGTTTTACTCTTTGCTAACGATGGTACGGATGTTCCATTTATCTTTTTTGCTCTTTCTAATAAATAATCAAATGTCCAATAATGTAAATGAAGTTGAGAAGGAATTGAAAGTGCTTGAACACGTTGCATTGTTTCTCCACATGATGGAATATCAATCTGATGAATAGCAGTAAATTCAAATCTTTCGATTTGTTTTGTTAATGATATTAATGGTCCACGTTTTATATCAACATGACAATCACCTATTCGATAAACAGATAAACGTGTTTGAGTATCTAATGATGACATCAAATGAAGCATATGATGAATTCGTGCAAGTTTAAATCAATCATATGCAAACATTTCTTCAGCTACATTTTGTGTTATATCTAAATATTTAAAACGAAGATCATGATCACATAATTTATAGGCTTGAATTGATACATAACGAAAATCATCACGACTTGGTTGCCAATCTCCTTAAATGTATCAAATAAAATCAAGATTTTCTTTTGAAAATTAAATCTAAATGAAATATTACCAAGATTAAGTTTGATATCATAAGTAAATGATCCATATTGAAATTGTGGTGGTGGTGGAAATGAACAAAGTTCAACATTATAATTTGATTTAAAAGCTGTTTCAAGTATATAATACAATAATAAATGAACATGTTCTCCAATAAGCACGTTTTTGTTCTTGATAATTTTCTTCCATAGAATGAAGAAATTTAATTTACAATCATGTTCTAATGGACAATTCATATCTCATAAATGTTCATCATTAATTAAAGCTAAACAAAATTGATCAACTAAAACTGATGATAAATGTTGAGCACAATGATATGATGTTGATAAATTTTAATTCATTAATAATTTTCTTGATTCAATTGGATCCTGAACACCGATTTCAATTTTTTTCTACACGACGAATATGTTCTATTTGACTTTAACATTCATTAGCAAATATTCGAAGAAGATAAGCACGAATTTCATTATTGGTTAAATGACTACGAGAAATTGCAGATGATGTAGATTGAAAATGATGAGTTTGACTTAAATAGGAGCAAAGTTTCATCATTCAGATTACTAAAAAAAATCAATCACAATTATAATCAGGGCGGTGCGACCGGGGAGAGGTTGGGGGAGGGTACCTCCCCCTGCTTTTGGAAAATATAAGTGGTATTTTCTCCCATTTTGGGCCTCGCTTTCTTCCATTTTGGACTCCGCCTTCTCTCGTTTTGGACTTCACTTTCTTCCATTTTCGCCTATAGTTTCTCCAACTTCCGGCTCGAAAACTAGCTGATGACGTACGAAATCCTCCTGAAAACCGAACTGAAGACGTTTTTTTTTTGCTCTTCAGTTTTGATTTCGTTGGTAACCGAAGCAGAAAATTTTTTTGAAAAACTCATGGACACTCGCGATGAAAAATTTTTTTTCACCTTTCTCTCATTTTGAGAGTACCCCCCTCTGCTCTGATCTCTTCGCGCCGCCACTGATTATAATAAATAAAATAATATAAAAGATACATGAATATTATGTGAAAGAAAGAAAAAAAGATATGAACCATGTATTTCTCTCGTAACCACCAATAAAAAAAAAACAGAATTGATAATGCAGACGAAATGGCGTTGATTATAGCTCCCAAGTAGTAGCGCGCTGTGAGAAACCAATCATTAAATTATGTTTAATACAGGATAAATATTGCTTAAAATCGAAACTAATATCTTTCTTTTCATTTCATTCTTTGTGATTATTTTCAAAGTTTCGTATTATGTCAGATACAATTGGCGAGAAGCACGGTGCTGGTGATATTATGGACGTGGTTATTCAACCAAAGTATGAAAACAATCCAGATGCTGAAGAATTTTCTTCTATGACAGCTAATGTTGGTAGTGGTAGTGAAATTAATAATCGTTCATATTCATCACGATCAACACATAGAGATGAGCAAGGTGGTCGAATTCATCGAACAACATCTAGCAATGGTTCAAATGTTAAAATTAATTCATCAACATCTGTTTATGATCGAAATATACGAATCGGTCGTCTATTATATCATTTAACAAATACTATTAAACAATTAACTACCAATATTGACAATTTGAACCAAAACTTGAAGAAATTACATGAGGATATGGATAATTTAACAAGTGGTAGGGGTGATTTACGCAACCATATTGGATATTTAAAAGACGATTTTAACAATCGAAATGTTACTAGTGGTGGTGTTGGCGGTGATCCTTATTATATAAAATAACTAATTGTTGGTAGTCTATGAAAAACTATTCAATCATTTCTCTATATGATTGTTTTTTTCTGTTTGATGTTGTATCTACGAAAATAAAGATGATTTTTTTTAAAGAAAAGATAAATAAATAGATAAGAAGAAATGTTGATTTACGTTTTAAACGTCCTAATCATAATCAGATCGATCAGGATACGTATCGCATTATTTATAAAACAAAAAAAACAAAAAAAACAAACGATTAATTTATTGTAAGAATCAATTGAATCATGTACAAGATCCATATTAACCGAGCCATTTTTGCTCATAATTTTTCATTGATAATTACGTCTCTATGACAGGTTTCAACACAAGTAAATAATCAATAAGACTAATTCATCAATTTTCTACATGGGAAAAAACAAAGCAAAATCTTTCATTTATCTCAAAGCAAATAGTTGAAGGCAAGAGTGGAATTTTTAACTGAAATAAATTTTTTAAGATTAATATTTATGTTTGAAAACTAGCATCACACACATTTTCATCTGTCAATTCACCATAAATCTTATTTAAAGTACTTGTATCAAGAAGTTTTTGGATCCATTGAGTATTAACAATCGATGATATTTTGGTAACAAGTTCGAATTCCAATGATTTTTGAAAGAAACAAATAATAAAGGGCAGCAGTGAAGAATTACATTTATTAATATTACGTGTTGTATGAAACGTATTTTGTTCAAAATTTTTTCCTATTTTAACCAAGTTCTAAGTAAGAACAACGAATATGAAATGGCTCAACAACGTAATTCGATTAAGAAAATAAACTAAAGTATTAATTGAAAAAATTTATTTAGATCTATTTTACGAATATTTACCATTTTATAGTCTTGCAAAAAAAAAACGTTTATACCATTATTAGATATGGAATATCATTCAACAATTTCTATTATTCATTTCAAAATAGACTGTACTCCATTGTTTTTTGAATAACTCAAGAACGCTAGCAGCTAGATACCTGCGATTTTCACCAATCGAAAGAGGAGACAAGAGCATATCTTTTTCTCCAATCTATCTATCTATCTCTATATAAATAATGTTCAGTGTCTGTGTGTTTCTCTGTGTCGAGTCAAAGGTCAAAGATTAAAGATCAAATAAGGCTATAAGGGGAAGTCCCCAAGGGCTACTATATTGGGGATGCCCATAGGTCCTCGAGGGCTATCCTATGGAGGTACTCATAGGTCCCTAAGCGCTGTCCTATGGGGTACTCATAGGTCCTCAAGGGCTATATTAGGCGGACACTCATAGGTCCTCAAGGGCTATATTATGGGGATACCAATAGGTCCTTAAGAGCTATTATATAGGAGTACCTATAGGTCCTGCAGGTAGTAAGAGAATCTTCTATACATATAATATTCAGTGTCTCTCTGTACCAGGTCAAAGGTATAATAAGAGTATAGGCGGATAACGCTATAAGGGGTAAGGCTATAGAGGCGTGGACTGGAAGGGGGAGGATAAAGCTATAAAGAGATAAGACTACAGAGCGGTAGGGCTATAACTGGGTAAGGCTTAAGAGTATAATGGTATCGGGGATAAGGAGAAAGGGCTATAAGAATACAACCTATAAGGGCTAAGGCTATAAAAGAGTAAGCCTGTAAAGTGGGTAAGGCTATAAGGGGACAAGAAGATAAAGAGATAGGACTATAAGGAGGTAAGGCTATAAAAGGGCCTGTAAGGGGGTAAGACTATAAAGCAGTAAGGCAATAAGGGGATAAGGGTGGGTGTGGGTGTGGGTGTGGGTGTGGGGTGTGGGTGTGGGT